AGTTGCGCACGCAGAGAGATGAGAATTTCACTCTATTCTGTTGGCAAACTGGTCTTTGTAGACGGCGACTGGGCTTATTAGCCGGCGGATTTCGCTATGTAAAATTCCGTCCCAAGCTGATTTGGGCTAAATACGCGGCTGGGCCTGTTAACCGTGGGCTTAATAACCGGCGACTACTGTAATGTCCATTGTAAAGACGAGGTCCATGACCATAAACTAGAGATAACAATGCATTCACCCTTACTGCCTTCGCAACAGAGACGCTTAGAATTTGTCCCATGCAAACTCTAGACTAGATTTGTGAACGTTATGCCCTTTTTTGGCCGGGGAGAATGTCATGCTTACACTACTCTGACCCCTGTTGACGAACTTCACCCCTGCCTCCTAACGAACGTTCACCCACTGCCTATATCACTCTGACGATTATTTACCTCTTTTCAGTTCTTTTACGCCAATTGTGAGTGATGAATTAAGCCCAACTCTAGGATACTCGGTAATCCTGACTCCTCGTCTGTTTGGCTCGTACTTACTGAATCTCGCGACTTTATCTATTCTGATCACGACACAGGGATTGGCAGACAGATTACTACGCATTGTTACCCCCGATCTAGTTGAAGTAGAGCTGCAGCAGCTGCAGAATATCGTCCCCGAAAATGATTTCTCAAAAAGAAACATCAAGGACCGTGTCGTAAAGTCTGCCGCCACAACGGCAGAAAAAAGAACTATTCATAAGACTGCCTTTTCTAAGAGACGCAACAAGCACACTAGTAAGTCACAAGGTACTACTGGTTCGTGCCCGAACAGGTACTCGAAAAGAAGTTTTAGGGTCCACAGAATGACCCGTATCTAGGAAGTGTTCTGTAATGGAAGACCAAGGGGTTCTATTTTCCTGTTTGAATAGCCAACTAGACAAGTGTTCCTAGGCTCTGTCTGTCAATTGCCTTTGCCTTTGTCCTATGTAATTGTATCCACAAGAGCATGTAAATTCATAAACACAATTGTAAGTGGCGTGCAATCGTAAGACATCCTTTGCACAAGAATGTAGAAAGGACCTAGTTGGAGGGCAAACGATGAGTTCAGCAGCATAGTATGTTCTTTCAATGGCCCTGAGAAGACGTCTCTTGAGGATATTTAAAATGATGGTTCTGTCAATTAAGGTCATAGGGGTTTACTACACTTTTCTATAAACTGAATTTGATATACCCGCTTCAATAAAGTATGTTTGAGACTGGCTTATTCTGCATCCAATGTATCCGTAGAACAGATTTTTCTCGTCCTCTAGAAAAGAATATGTACCAAGTGGCGTTTCCACCGAATGGGAACAAAAGTCATATAATGCAAGTATTGACCTTTCCAGGTATTTTTATCGAACACCGTCTGTGTAGTGGAGCCATCTTATCGTCTGGACAAGTGAACTTCGAGGAAGGAAAGTTGATTCCCTCTTTCTTGTTCCATATTAAATTTAATCTTGGGATCCAAATTGTTCATTGCAGACAATAATCCTTCGGCTTCCCTTAAGTTGTCGACAATCACGAAGACATCATCTACACATCGTCTGTAGAGTGTTGTCTTGTTCAATGTTGACGAAACTTTATCTTCTCAATGGCCCATATATATGTCATTAAAGGTGGGTCTAAATGATCTTTCAATTACGACTACGTCAATTTGTCAATATAATTGGCCATTGAACAGAAATTGGACATCGTTTGTACACCTGTAACAAGTTCCCTAGTATTTCAGGCGACAGTCGAGTGTCGGAGTAATAAGCACAAATGATGTCTATGGTTTCATCCAAAAGGCACATTGGTACATAATGACTCAACGTCCAAGGATAACATGTATTTGTCAGTAATATTTTTGGTGCCTAATTTCTTCGACAAAATGGAAACTCTCTTTTGATGTATAAGTAAAAACTCTCTCGGGAGTTGGCTTTAATTCCTTCACGAGCCAATGGACTAGTCTGTGAAATTTTGAGTTAGACATGGATAGAATTGGTCGTAAAGGGATATCCTTTTATGTGTTTTTGGTAAACCGTCTAGTCGTGGGGTATAGTAACCTCTGGGTTTTAGGGATAGAGTGGTTTGGGTATCCATTGGATTATTATCGAACAGAAACTTAATAGTCTTCTAAGAAGAGTCGTCTAATGACTTGGTTTCCTCTGCCTTGCGCTTTTAGACGAAATTTACTGGAATCATTTAAGATATCTTCCATTATATTAGCGAAATCCTCGCGATTGAGGATAACCACCCCATGCCCGTTGGCCGGTTTAGAAATAACTATTTCTTTGTGGTCTTTGAACGCGAATATAGCAATTGTATGTTCTTAAGTTATGGGAGAGCGTTGTGATATCGGAGCCCTACGGTACTGGTATGCGAGAAAAATTAGTTT